GAAGTAGTCATGAAGGACTGAGGGAGTTGGCAGCGGAAGTTGGACTGGAACTTTATTGTGGCTTAGATCTAAAATGATCCCCCCCAGGCCTGCTGCGTTTAGAAGGTGGCTGGATCATGGGGTTTATGCCTAACTTGCTGTTGGGGTGGGTCTGGTTGGAAGACCTTCCTTCCCAGGTCCCCCATTTGCTTTCTGCCTCCTGACCACCTTGGGGTGAGCAGCTTTCTTCCAGCAGGCCCTTCGGCCAGCTGCTTCTGCTTGGAGCACTGGGCAGTGCAGGACTGAAACCATCTAAGATGTTAGCCAAAATAAACCTCTCCTTTAAGTGGCGGGTGTTGGGTATTTTGTCCCAGTGAGAAGTGACTGAGACAGACTTTGAGTACTGTGGAGTTTGTGCGGGGAGAAGGGAAGCATGGAGGGGGGTTAGGGAGTCGCACAAGGTGGAGTTTTAGGGGAAGTTGTGGTAGGGCGGTTGCGAGGCAGCTGCTAAGAGAATAGTGAGGGCCTGGGCCATCCAGCCTTCGGTGCCACTCTCACTCCTTGAGGGTGCTGGCACCCAGGGCCTTTGGTCAGCTGACTTCTCTACCCGAAGCGCTCTTCGTTCAGGACAGCGTGTGTGGTGCCTGTGTCATTTCGGTCTCCTCAGTCTTTCTCATCACACGGTCTGAAGAAGTCCTCCAGGCCTTCCTTGGCACATGGCCCTGCCTTCTCTTCATCCCGGTTCTTGTCTCGGATGACACCAGCCAGGACTTGCTCAGTCCCACCCACAGGATTTGCCGCTGCACCTCAGCACCATCTCAGGCCGGCCCTTGCTGTGTAGCCCACCTGTGATCTTCTTAACAGCCTCTTGAGCACAGGGTGACAGCTTTGTGGCACACGTCCACCCCCTCTCTCTGCTGGCAAGATCTCGATCATGTTTGGGGCGATGCAGTCAGTGCTCACCCTCGTGCCCTTTTCTAGTCTCACACTGCCAGTCAAGGAAGCATAAGTGGGTGTGTCTTCTGATGAAGTGACCCAGAGGCTATGCTGTCACTCTTGGGTCTCCTGGCCCTGCCGTGTATAGGGTAGGGTTTCAGCAGTCTTCTAGTGATCGTAAGGGGAAGGCAAAAAGGCTGCAGTGACCATTCTATTGGTATCAGTGGACAGTGCTGGCATGTAGGACTTACTGTGGGTTGGGGTGGCCTCTGTTACGTACAGACATTGTGAATTGCTTTGTGAGTCCAGTCCACAAACCACTATTAATTAATATAGACAATGTCTCTGAGAGCGTGTGAGAGGAGCTAATTTGGGGAGGAGGGGAGGCCAGTTGTTAATGTCCACAAGTTTTTAGGGGTGAGTGGTGAGGCTGCAGAGGGGATGGGCGTCACTCACACACTCAGTGTGTGAGTTCTTGCAGCGCAGACGTGCTTTCCATGTGTCAGTTATCTGCTGCACACTAAGCCATGTGCATGTACATGGAAAGGCCATGTACGGAAGACCACGCGTAGCCCCCTTTAAGCAGTTGGCGGGTGTCCCAGTCCCAGCTGATCCTGACGGTGTCCTTCACTTTTTAGGCTGACTTTACAGCTCGCCACTCCACGGGCTGTGACTCCAGCGCAGTGAGCCTGACGGCATGGGTGTGGCTGCCCTGTCGTGGGCAGATTCCCGGGCATGGTGGCAGAGGCTGGCAAAAAAGGCTGGGTTTCGGGGAAGAGGTCAGCTTTTGACTGTTTCTGCTCTTACTTCCAACTCCTAGCTCATGGTGGAATCAGTCGCCTAACTTTTGTCCTCCAGCTTTTTCCTTTGTAGATTCTGAACCCTGTCAACTCTGGAGATAGGAAAGCATGATAAGATATTCGATGCTCTCAAAAGACATCCCTGACTTGCTTTCTCGGTAATAAGCCGTGTCGGGGCTCCTCCAGCCATGCTGTCAGCCTAGCACAGTGTCCACTTACCTCCTGTGGTGTGCAGAGCAGGTGTCCAGGGCCCTCAGGTGCTGGGCGTGGCCCAGGGCCAAGCCCCTGGCTTGGGTGTGTGAGTCCCTGGATTTGACGTCAGCACCACAAAAAAGAGAAAAACAAATGCCTTTGAATACAACAGTAAATTCAGTTATCTTGAACTTTTTAAAAATGTTTTTTCGGGGCTAGGGATTTAGCTCAGCGGCATAAGTGCCTGCCTTGCAAGCGCGTGGTCGTGAGTTCGATCCCTGGTACTGGTAAAAAAAATTTTTTTTCCCCTGACATACAAAAATACCTGTTAGAAGTATATAAAATAGAAATGTAAGAAAAAAATCACTACTTCATTTAGAAGAACTGTTAATGTTTTACTGTATTTCCTTTGTCTTTTCAACATACAGATTTAAATTTTAATATAATTGAGATTAAGCATTATACACAAGTTTATATCCTTTTTTCTTTTATGATTATGTAATTAACATTTCCTTCAGTTATTAAATACTTGTATTACCGTTTTCTTTATAGTGGCTTAATTGGTTATATTCCATGTCACATAGATAATTTAGAATTTTTTGGGTATATGTTATATTATCCATTATGGGAAACTAAGATTATGACATTGTAGCCATTATTGTTATATTAAAAGTACATTAAAAATTCATTTCAAAATAAGTTTTCAGGATCAAAATTTAAAGTTAATGGTTTTTTGAAAAAGGAATATAAAACGCATTCTCAGTGGCCCTCAGCTATGAAAGCACTTGACAGCCACATTGGACGGCAGTCACAGGGTCTCATCCTGCGGTAACTCGGTGTGCATTTGTCTTTCTGTTGCTGCTGCTGCTGCTGCCGCCGCTGCTGCTGCTGCTTTTGCTGTTAGGTCAGCTTTACCAACCACATTGTTACTTCAGTCCTCTGGAAGAGGAGCGAATCAGCAAGTCTCCTTAGGATTTCTGTTTTTATTTGTCTTAAAATCACATCTTCCTTGCTGTACCATGTTTATGTGTTCATAGGTTATTACTTACTTTAACCCTGTGATCAACTATCCATTAATATGCTTCTAAAATCATTTAGTTTTTAATATTTTAGTGTCCCAGGAAATCGAGCCAAACGTCGAGTTCTGTGTGCCTCCTCCCCCTTTACTGGTGCTGCGGGTGGAGCCCTGTCCTTGTTACACTCAGTGGGCGGAGTGACAGTGGCATTGGCCAAGTCCCGAGTTCCCATGAGACTTCCTGCTGCATGTGTGCAACCCTGTGTTTTGATGATTTGGTAGCTCATATTTTCCCCAGCACTGAGTAATGTTTCATTATCTGAATGTACCATAGTTTATCTTTAAAAGTATTTTATGCTCCAAAAAATTGGAAAGAGAATAGTTCATAAGGATGCCTACATGGTAAGAGCATTTGCAGAATATAGGTGCATTTTATAATTAACGGGTTAAGATTTGCTTTCTAACCTTTTCCCCTAGCACACAGATTTTATTCTTATATTGATGAATAGTTTAGTCCTGTACCAATAAAACACATGACTTTTTGATCTTGAAGAATAAAGAGATGATAGTTAGTTTTGCTATGTTGATCTGAAAATGGTAGCGTGTGTCCTTGCTGGTTAGATGTTAGATTTTACAGGTGACCCTGAGTGAGTGTAAAGTGACAAACAATTATGGAGGTGTTTCAGCTGTTGGCCCCAGGGAAAGGTGTGTCCTCAGATAACCCCTTTTAATAGGGTGTAAATACAGTAGAGCATGTGTACATCAGAAGCCTGATATAAGTTATAAGATCTGATTTTCATCACTTCTGGTGTTTTAAGTACTTGATTGTTTTAAATGGCTCATTTCCATGAAACTGTAGTATATATTTTATATTAAATGTGGCATTGAGCTGTTAATTCAACATTGCTTCTATGTGCCAGGCCTACCTATTTATTTTAGCTATGTTTCAAGAGAATCTGTAAATTAATATATAAGAATTTGATGATCCTTCATTTGCATGTTGACATTTGGAAGAACTTGGTTTTATCCCTGAAATTACCATTTAAAAATTGTATTTAACTGATTAATGATGCATATAAGTACTGTTGGTATTTTTTTTGTGTAACTCACACAAACTCTTTCAGAGTGCTTCTGATTGCCCATAGGAAAGTTTCTTTCTGTCAGATGTCCGCCACTCAGGGCAGGGGGTTTGGCTCCGTGGCACAAGCACCTGCCTGGCAAGCGTGAGGTTAAGAATTCGATCCCTGGTACCCCCCCCCCCCCAAATCCTTCATTGATAGTTTTTTCTATTAATTTTTAAATGAAAATTTAAAACTCAATTTACTTAACATAAAAAGTTAAAATTTCTTAGAGTGGTTTTGAACCCCAAGCCACAGGCTGAAAAGGCTGTGTGGAGCCCTCAGAGTTCTAAGTGTCGCAGTTTAATTATGTGATGCAGCTTTGGGAGGTGATGCGGTCCCACAGCGGAGCCATGGGACCATCATTTCATCCATCATTTCATCAATAAAAATTCATAAAGAGCTGCCCCGAGGGGCATTCATGCTGGTACCACTGGTGCTTTAAGGTGCCTGGCAGTGCCATACACACCCCAGCCTGTGTGTCCGTGTGCGCATAGGGGAGCCTTGCTCTGTGTGGGCACACTGGTGTTCATGGTGACTGGATCATGCAGAGATAGTTCAGGCAAAGTGTTTTTTAAAAAGTAGCTCAGTATTATTGCTTTGGTTCTTTTTAACAGTCCCCAGTGGTAGGGGAATCAACATCTTGTACCTGTTTTATAGATGATACTGATTTGCCCATGGTCCCACAAGAGGAGTTGTGGAACTGGGATTAACATGGACCTTCTTGTTCACTTTAATGCTTCTTTCGGATGGGGGAGAACTTTAGTGTGTGCAGGTCCAGCCTGCTGGAGGGCTGTGTGATGCCACCCCACGCTACTGCCTTAGCCCAGAATGCCTAGGACAGCAGCAGGGATGGGGTTCACAAGGGAGACCAATGAGAGGAGCTGAGACTAACGCTTCTGACTTCACCCTGCAGTCCTTGTGTCCCCGTGTCACTGGGTTCTGCCCTTTCTCTTACAGATGCTGAAAATGTCCTCTAAGGAGAAATATCCCTTGTTTACTTTTGTGCACGGACATTCCAAAGACTATGACTTTACATCCACGGTGGCCAACGAAGAAGACCTTTTCTCACAGGATGATAAGAGACTGAAGAGGTTCAGCACAGAGGAGTTCGTCTTACTGTAGCGAGAAGGCGTCTGCGCTTGCCGGGACCTGGTGACGGGGCGAAGACTGATGAGAACATTCGAAACCCTTTGCACAGACAGATAATTTTATATGTTCTTTTAAAAACTTGGGAAATTCATGTGTTTAAAGTTGTTTTTCTGAAGTGATTGAATGACTCTTGCTTTCTAATAAAAATGTTTCTGGTTGCATTTCTGTCTTCTGGGATCTGCTAATGACCCTGTCCCTGGACTGTGAGCCTGTGGCTGTCTTGAGTCTCCCCGCCGCCAGCCTGCAGGGGTGCTGGGCCCCGGAAGTCCGCAGTCACCAGGCAGTTGCAGAGCCTCAGTGTCTGTTATGACCCGGAGGCCAGAGGAGGAGTCTTCAGCGGTACCTGAGTTCCTGCTCTTCAGGCAGCCAGAAGACTCTGTGACGTGTCTTAATAATTAAAAGTACAGTACTCGTTAGTGGTGATGTGCATATAATTATGTAAGCAGAATTTTTGAGCTAAGGTAATACTTAGCATATGGTTTTATAATGGCTTCTTGTGCTTGCAGGTATACTTTCTCTGAGGAGGGAATGTGAAGTGTTAGCTTTTCCCACAGATGTAAAGGTTATACTATTAACAGTAACTTCATCCACTCAGATCAGAAAAAGGAAATATAAAATAGTAGTACTGTTTGTTTCCTACCTCAAACGTGGAATTTTAAGAGTTCAGCTTGTGTAGTTTTTAAATCTGCAGATGAATACCAGGGAAGGCATCAGCAGAGTCTTCTGTGATTTTGGTTATTTAAAGCAGTGTAGGGGTGTTTGGAAGCTGAGGCCATTTATAAGGTAAATCCGCCTTAAGTGTGTTCCGTGCTATTACGGACAGATTTGTGATGTAAAATATCAGTTATTATTGACTAGGATTATAAATACTTTAATAAAGATATGTGAACACAAAATGCCTTCGGGATTTAATGTTGGGATTATTGTAATCCTTTCATTTGAAAAATCATATCCAGTGAACTCTATAATGAAGACAGATAATGTTGTTGCTCTGAAAGTGAAGTATTAATTTTATAGAGATTCTGTGTTTAGTGTGGAAAGGTGACTCATCATAAAGACATAAAATTTCGCACCATCCAGTATCCTGGATCCCTTCCCTCTGCAGAGCCTATGAGTTCATGGAGCCCCACGGGGAGCCAGAGCAGGAAGTGGACGGGCTGCCGAGGACGCTGAGGAGAGAGCAGACTGTCGCCTTGTGAGGGCAGTGTACTGAACTGAAATAGTCTGAAATGTAAACATTTCCCTTCCCCTAGACAAAACCTGGACACATGAAGTCCAGCACTGTCCTAGAACGTGAAAACAGAATAGGAGCAAGAAGCTGGTGGTGTGCCCGGTTATCTGCACATGGTCCTCTTATGCAAGCCATTGAGATTTACTGTCCTGCAAAGCCACAACACTCACAGGATTTGACATCACACACATCAGACGAGAGCACTCGAACCTGCAAATGGAGCTGAATGGATTGTAAGTGTTCTGTTCAAAAACCAGGTAAAAGCCGAGAGGTATAGATGGCCTTAGTATCCCCAGCTTCCTTAGGGATCATTTTAACGTGGGCTTTTGGGATGAGGCAGAGTTGCACGTGGACACAGATAAGGCGAGAGGAGGCAAAGCTTCCCCTGCACGGGGTGCATTGCAAACACTGTGCTTAGAAGGCTGAATGAACAGTATATGGCAGTAGAGTCACCCACATGACGGAGTAAGTAGAGTGAGAACTCCTTAGCATGACGACACATGGCTATGAAAGTCATGTGACAGTAATGCACACATGGATGGATGAATGTGTCAATGGAAATCCAGAGTCTGTTAGAGCTGATGATGCAAGCTTGTAATTTCGCCTTCTCGAGAGCCTGAAGTCAGAGGATCAAAAGTTTGGGGCCATTCTGGGCAACGTAGGGCGACCCTGTATCACAATTGGAAAAAGAGCAGGGATGTAGCTCAGCTCTCTTAACACTTGCCAAGCATGTGCAAGGCCCTGGGTTCAATTCCCAGAACTGGAAAAAAATGGAGAGGGGGTCCACTGTGTTGATTTTGCTTGCTTACTAACGTGGAGGCGTCGAGGGTACCCGAGAGTTAGGCTCATTCTTCACGGGGGCAACCCAGACCATCCCGTTAGGCTTAGAAGAAAGATGCTGCATGTCCCCGTTTCAAACTGTTCCAACCCAGGCTTCATCTCAGGTGCAGAGAGGCAGCCCGATCAGTCCCTGGAGCTGAGGGATGGCATTTTGGGCCGGAACAAGGGGCGTCCAGAAGCTCCAGGGCCTGTTAGAGTGGTGAGGGGGCCCTCCATGAGAGTGTCATTAAGATCCTGGGTTTTACCATTAACATTTTAGAAATGAATTTTTTAAATTCCCGATACTACTATTTGGGAGTGAAGGTTTCTTTTGTCTCTTCTTCATAAGATTTGACACTTCGAGGACTTTTTTGTCAGTGTATTAGTGACCGGCAGGCAGTTTTGAAAGTCATGGTATGCCAAATGAGTAGATGGAAAGGTCTTTTATAGTGTAAGTGTATTCAAAAAAGTCCCTGAGGTATTCATTTTTCTGTTTTTATATTGAACCAAATCCATTAAATCTGTATTAGTGAGAAGACAACTTTATCAGATTAACAATGTAGTCACTTTCGTGTCTTATTAACCTTAGGGTATCACATTGTACAGCGGCAAACTAACCTGAAAGTGTACGTGTTAATTCCAGTTGGGCTCTAGAGGAACTAAAGAGAAAGAACAGAGACAGCCAACCTGTGTACTCTACCCAGCCTTTGCCTGGAAAGCTCTTCTCTTTCAAGCAGTTTCTGGTTACATCTATTATTTCATGCCAGAAAGCATTTTATTTCTGGTCCAGTATATCAGCCCAGCCCTTTTCTCTCTTTCTCTAATTTCCTTTTATCAGGAAGAAGTTGCATCTTTATGGTTTATCACAGATCATCTTCAGTGTCTTGTAACAGATGTCTAAGTATCTTTTGCTATATATTCATCAAAAAATAAACTATAAAAGATTTTCTAAAAACAGGAAACGAGCACATAATAAAAAACAATTTATAAGTATGTATTAAACCACTGTGTATTAAACCACAGTTGTTGAAACAGACTTAAGATGAGGAAGAAACAAAATTTAAAGTCCAGTAGTGGTGATATAGGAGCCAGATACTCATTACATATTGTAGAGGGAATTTTCATGGAGAGATAAGGGATTGTTATTTCTATAGAAAGAGCAGATATCCTCCAAATTTTTAAAAGGATAAATACTTATTACAGTCTTATTAAATAGTCATAATTGACTAGCATATTAACTGGAGCATTTACACTGAGGAGTCTGAGATACTAAGCTGAAAAGGTAAAACAGGGAAAATTGGAAACATCTTATTGATTCTAAAATAAATTTTATAACATTTTATAGTTTGATTCTTCAGTCAGTTTAAAAATCTTAAGCATTTTTGTGTGGCTTTCATAGTTATTTAAAGACTTCCTCCTTGCCTATAAACTTTGAAAAATATTATATTTGGGGCTGGTGTTAGAGGCGCAAGCTTGAGTTACCTTTTCCCTCTCATTCTTTTTTACAGTCTTCTCGACATTATTGGTGGCAAGCAATGGCCCAAAACAGTCATATCCACTGTTATAAAATTTCATGTATTCTCCCACAGGGATAAGGAAGATATGTTAAGTGGAGACAATTCATGTTTGTTATTAGGTAGAAAAATTACTTTTTTACTTTTTACCATGCTACCCTCTAGCCAATTCCTCCAGAAATTTAGAAACTGACTTCCAAAAATGCCATCTAAGCCCAAGTCATAAAAAGTGTACTGTAGAGAATCGCCTTTCAAATTACTTAGGATTAAGTTCATTACAAGTATGGTATATACGTGCGTTTTACAGTAAGATAAATTGATGAAAAGTGAGAGAGCATGGATTTAAAAAAGGTTTTAAAAGCAGGAAAAGTAAAGGAAGTTGGAAATTGAGTAGAAATCTGAAAACTAAAGGATGGAAGAATTCTTGACAGCAAGTGTTGCCTGTCTAGGCAAATAAACACCACCGTGAACAGCCATAGAGTCGCGAGGATTTAGGCGGCTTGCAGACCACTACGCTTCCAATGTGTGCGTAGCCGCTGGCAGAGGTGAATGCGGGCCGGCCGGGAGGGGGCGCTGCGGTGCTGTGTGGCTCTGGAGGCCCCCGGCCCCTAGGTGTGGGGCGAGTGTGTCCCCCTTGTGGTGAGCTGCGTGGCTTCTCTCTGCTAATTCTGCCATGCTGCTCCATTGTGCCTAGTGCTGTTGCGATCGGTTCACTTGTACTAAAATACAGCTGGCTCTTGGGATTTGGATGCTCAGTAATGGCTCAGGTTAGGATAGTCCAGGGTCAGGTCTGGTTGAGACAGGGCTTCCATGGAGCGATACCCAGGTGATTCAAATTATTTCCCAAATAGACATAACTGAAAAAAATCCACCGATGCTCTTGATACTTGAACGTGGTGCTTTCATTTTTCCATATTCTCTCTGTGATAGTTCACGTCACCTTGTTCTTCAGTCATGTCCGATAGTCTTGGGACCGGTTTGACTGGGTTCCCTTGGTGAAGAGGTCCTCATGTGGGAAGCCTCTTAGATTTGATTCCAATGGGCACTGTTTACGCCTCCGGCTTGCACGAGCTTCCCTCTCGGGATCTGTGACAGGTTCCTAGCCCCAACCCTGGTGCTTTGCTAGTTTTGTATCTGCCAGCCAAACCTGGGGGTGTTTGTGTTTTTGTGTGTAGTTTGTTATTGTGAACGCCTGAGACAGTTGGGAACTTTAACAACTGAATAGCTTTCTCCCTGGGGGTTAAAAGTAGTAGCATAAAAATATTAACCATATGGTCTTGATATAATCAGGGTGTTACAGTGTGAGCATTTCAGAGCTGTTATTCATGTTTGTTCTTTTGTAGTGAGCATGCAGTTACAGACTGAAAGCCAACTGTCCTATATCGTCACCTCTGCTTTTTGCTGAGGATTTTGATTATTTCAATTTGTATATTAAGTTTATGGACTCTCATTTCTTACCACCAGTTTCATCACTATTTTTCTATTTTCCCAATGTATTTATAAAACAAGTAGTGATTAGAAAATCCAGTAATTTTACAACCTGCTATCAGGTGTAGGGGTATTAATTACATATGTGTAATATCTATATAAGACCAAG